ATCATCTCCACCAAACATGAATTACAGTAGGAAATATTAGTGGCAGGGCACGGGAGTTACGCTAAGTGATGCACAATGAGTGTTAGGCAGGCTGTTCCACTTGTTTACCACTCTGTCGTAAAGCTTCACATTTTATACTCGGCTTATGTCGACCTCTGGTTTTGGAGAGGTTTTTTCAAGCTTAAAATGTCGACTTATACACTGCACTTTACTGTAGTTTACAAAATTATGCCTCGGCATAACAATACAGGTACTCCCCGACTTACGACGGGGTTAGGGATCGACATCCAGGTCGTAAGTTGAAATGGTCATAAGTCGGAAATGCTTAAATCACACACAAAATCGAAAATTTGGATCTCTTTTTCTTCTCAGCACCACAAAACACTCACTTTTAAGCTTGCCAGCCATTTTAAAGTGAATTATAGATGAAAATTTTGTCTGTGTACTGACTTTGGGACTCAAAAATACATTGTTAATCCATAAATCTACTCCACCTTTGTCCATCCACCCCTTCTCATGGATATGGATATAAACACCCAAAGGGAACTTTATAACTGGCATTGTTTTTCTTTTAAATATAACCATTGGTTTTAGTTTAGTTCCCTCTGCAAGGCATGTTAATACGACAGTGAACTTCATCTTTTCGTGACCCGTACTTTTTATCAGAATTGTTTTTTTGCCTTTGGAGTCAACAGTTTTATTGCTAAGCATATTGAAAAACAAGGTGTTTCACCCATATTACCAATCTGACACTTGTGTTCCTTCCTCAGTCCAATGACATATCAAAGGAAATTTGTAATTTTGTCTTCAAGGTCTGCTGAGAGTTTCTGTGCAATTTTAGTTTTCTGCCGGAAACAAAATTTTCCTCTTCGTGAAGCGACTACACCAGTTCGCAGTTGCTTTAAAATTTTAGCTTTCATCTGGGTGTGTTTTGGCCCACTTAACCCTTACACCCCATGTTAAGGTGCTGCTGGCAGTACACCCCCCCCCCCCTGGATAAATCAAGGAAAAAAAAACTTTTAAAAAATAATAATAAAAAAGCCTACATTCTGGAGCATCACCTGGGGCACGCTGGTCGGACGTTCTGGAACGTCGCATGGGTGCGTATGTCAGTTCGGGTAACTGTATAGCCATCTTGATGGATTTCGTTGATCCAACCTTCTAAGCAATTAGTGACAAATGCCGGTCCTTACAGCACATTTTTTCTTAGGTATCTTCTTCAGGGAGGCTTCACCTTTCTTCCAATCACGCACCACCTTTTCATTTACTCCATAATTCCTCGCTGCAGCACTGTTGTTTGAAAAGTTTGCAAACGCAACAACTTTCAGCTTGAAACTCGAGTCATATTTCATCCTTTTTGCTGGGGGAGCCATAGGGATAAGATATTTTCAGCCGTTTAAAAATTGAATACCGTGAGTGTTAAACAGCTACAACTAGACAAGAAGACATCTACAGTGTTGTCAGGTTGGTGTGTGGATAATAAGTGGATGTCAGCAAGAGCATAAAGCCACGATGGTTTAGTAAATTGCCATGTAGGCTTGTTCAGTGTATGGGGGGGGGGGCCAATAAGCAGATGACAGTCTAAGTCTCTAAACTGTTTGCTTGGTGTTTACCAGAGTTCTTACGGAGATAATTTACTGAAGATTTTTAGTGGTTGCTTGCTGTCTTACGTAGACCCTGTTGCCCACTTCCCTTTTTGTATGAATATATATATATATATATATATATATATATATATATCAAATTAAGAAAGGTATTATGGCAAGTGTCTTGAAGAAAGTGGCAAGGCCTTATTACACACTTTTGCCATAGGCTATATCCACATTTCAGTTCTAGCCTAGCCTATGTCTGGGCCTTGGGGGGGGGTCGACTTACACAGCGAGTATAGGCCTAAACCTGAATTTTGAACTAAAAATCTTGGTCGACTTTTACGCCGCAACTTACGGTAGTTATTTTATGTATATATTGAAATACTGTATTAATTATGCAAAAATTTTCTGAAATGTATTGCCCATGAAATGGTGATGGGAATGAACGCGGTGACAAAACGGGTAAAAGCAGTGGTGACAAAACGGGTGAAAACAGTGGTGACGAAATGGGCACACCCCGTACGTACGTATGTATGTATATGTATATGTATATGTGTATATATATATATATATATATATATATATATATATATATATATATATATATATATATATATATATATATATATATATATATATATATATATATATATATATATATACATACATATACATATACACATAGACCCCGACTTACGACGGGGTTAGGGACCCAAATCCAGGTCGTAAGTCCGACATAGATAAAAAAAAAAATTAATAAAAAATCTACAATGAAATACAGTACAGTAAAAGTAATGAATAATGATGAATGGATACAGTACAGTGAAAGTAATAAATAATAAGGAATGGATACAGTGTGACTGAGCACTTAACCTTTAATGTAGTCAGCTGAATGCACATGGGGCCCCCATAATTTTCTAATTATACATGGAGACTACATTAACTGGAAACGTTTCGGTATAGAAAATGCGTGTCATTTTTTTTATCTATATCTGAGGCGGTCGTAAGTCCCGACGGTCGTAAGTCCACGTAGTCGTAAGTCGGGGTCTAGTGTGTGTATATATATATATATATATATATATATATATATATATATATATATATATATATATATATATATATATATATATATATATATATATATATATCGTAAAGGTTTTTTTGCTCTTATCTCCCTATATACAAAATTAATGTAGAGTTCCGTGCATGGGTCACAACTGAACATGAAAACTTTTACTTTAAGTTAGATAGATTCATTTTATGAAAAATATCCTCAGAACTTGGTGACTGAGTCCACCAGTTTCTCCTGGCAACTGCTGGTTCAACTTTAACACACCAATATTGTACACAAAAAAGACACCCTTGTGTACAAACAAAAAATGAACGTGGGTCCCATAGTCATGACTGTCCATTAGGGAGAGCATGATACAGCAAACTGTATACTAAGCCTTCAGTACACAAGCAGGCAGTATGGTTGGTACGACACTTGACCGCATTCACTTCCCAAAGTTGCAAACTTAGGTACAATACCCACTTATAGCTGGGTGAGTTGGGAGCGCCCGGGGAATCGAACTGATGACCCCTGGAACAGGAGGCAAGCACTGTATCCACTTGACTTTCCCACTCCACAAAACCTAACCTTACGTAATAAATCTATAGATACAAACTATTCTATGAAACTAACTGACAAAATATTCCAGACACGCTGGTTGTAAATGGCGGCATCAGAGCTCCAAAACCCATATAAATATTATACTGTATACCAAGCAAATTTCCTTCATCTACTTTTAGTCCTCCTCATGAGGTAACAGGCACTTATCTTCTATGGAGAAATGTCTTCAAGTTGCTGGTTCTGATATAAAACAGATTGTAATAATCACTATAAATATAAAACAAATCTTAACCAAGGTCAGATTAGGCTCAGTTTGGTTAATTCATTTTGCCTATTTTATAAGTTCACTGTAGTGCAGTTGTCAAGATGGAAAAGGACTGGGATACTATTCTGTATACATAATTACTTTATCACAATATACATATATGTACACAAATACAAGCAGTTAATCATTGTTGTATTTCTTTTTCATATCGGTGAAACTACAGCATTATATAATCAGTAATCCTGGAGTAGATGACTGACACCAGAACGTGTTGTTTGATTTCATAAATTTTTTCCCACAGATGTTCTTTGGATGATTGCGAGTAATGAAAATGATACGGCAATGCACAAAACCTAATAGAACTTGACCTAACCAACCAAAGAAACCTACCTAACTTCTCCTGCCATATTAAACGGAAAGTAGTTACAGTACTTTGATATCTAGTACCAATGACAGCAACTTTCTTGAAGCAGCATGGTGTAATTTTATCAATTTTTGAGGACATAAGAGTACACCGGGAGTTAACAAGCTGCTTAAACAAAGCGTGGAGGACAACACACGTCGACATAGCACATTTTTCGTAGGAATATCTGGTCAATTTATAGTAGTGCACTGTTCTTTCTTTTGGGTATTAGAAATGTGTAAAAAAAAACCAGAAAAATCACCCCAAAGCAAACCTAATCAAGGGGGGGGGAGGTTAAGAGGGACAGCCCCCCCAGATTAGTTTAGGATAGAACAGTGCACTAATATAGAAAGACCGAATATTTATGGTAAATAATTAATTTCTTTACGTACAAAGCACGTTGAGACATTATGTATAGTGTCATAAATTTTCACCGGGTTTTTGTCTGCAATATCCCACATCCTTCAGAGCCTGCCCACTACAGATGAATTATGATTTTAGTAAAAAACTAAAAAATTAATACTTATAATTAAAATAAAACGTATCGTTTTTATTACTATCAACTGAAGAATATGTGGAAAAAATGAACCAAATCAAAAAATTTCTGGTATTAGTCATCTGCTCCAGTACAATATTACCATATAATCTGATACACAAAACAAGCAAATAAAAAAAAACTGATTAATCTTTTGGTACGTGTCATCCATCACACTGTACATTAGTCTCACATCAGAGAAAACCCAATGTTTGTGTTCACCCCAATCAACATCAGAATGCATAAACACTGTAGTGGCAGAGTTTAGTTTATTATAACATTCAGCAGTAGTATATAACTCTGTACCATTATTATTCCAAGGCATTTATTGCGTATTTTCACTAACTGGCAATAGCAAAAATACCTTAAGTAATCATACATCTCGGTCAGTAACTCGCCCGATGGTAATTTCCAAATCCATCTCAGTCAGTTATAATATTCGAAAGATGAATAAATCGCATTTAATTTTCAAAGATCACAACTACAGGAGAGACAAGAGCCGACGCGCCATGATGCTCACTCCTAGATCCCGCGAGTACTGGTCTTCTGCCGCATCTCTTTAGGCCTACAACTTTCATGACTTCACTAGTGCTTACCAGTACCACTGCTTCACAAGCTATCTGTTGGTTTCACTCCTCTCAGCTAAAGATTGTTGTATTTGGTATATTTCACTATATTCTCCTAGCGCGAGGTAACCGCTCCTGGATGACCATTCTCTCGCTGCTAACTCTACCTACATGGTGTTGTAAAAACTCATAACCTATGACTATATATCCAATCTGTTATAATTAATGGCGAATATAATATTTAGTATTGAAAATTAATGCATCAAATTGATTTAAACAGAAAATAAACTGCAGGTAATCTATGCACGGGAAATTTATATTCGAATGTATTTCACAAACAAAAGAATTATTGGAACACCTGGCTCAACGACGCCCGGGTACCAATTGAATATTGTATTATAGTCTCTCACTGAGTATCAGGGAACAGGAAAATTAATCTAAACTATGAGAACATAATATTAATAATACTAATAATAATATTAGTCATAATAGTACTAAGAAATAATAATAATAACCGATGTTTAATAAATTTGACCAAGGACAGCCGACGACAATATTATTAGTGTTGTTTTTGTTAGAACATGCGTGTCTCTTATGATATGTCAGGGGTTCGAGTCCTGCTTGGCCCGAACAGGTTTCCTCCTGTACTAACACTAAGGAAGCAGCTGATTATGTAAATTATAGTCCTTGTTGTATGATGGAAACAAATCGATGCTTAGACTGAACAGGACATTCAAATATTGAGTTAATATTACTGAACGTGTGTGGGCCGCTTAAAGTTTTGTGATCCGTGTCCGTCCGTGGCCGTGTCGGGAATACGTGTCAGTGAAAAATCGAGTATTTGGGAAAAGGTTGAGAAGCATCAGTTCCGTGTCCGTATCCGCGAGGAATCGCGCAGTGTGCGATTTTCACGGACATGGACGGCCACCGAAGCTGTTGTGGGGGCAACATGACCTTATACTACAGGCGGGCAAGGGGTGACCAAATTGAGATGTATAAGCATCTCAAGGGGCACTTCTCAGTCGAGTGTCCTTACTTGGAGCTGGCGGACGCTCGCCCCACAAGGGGTCACAGCTCAAGATTGAAGAAGACGCAAGTCCAGAAAACTGTGATGGCAAACTTTTTCGGAGTGAGAGTTGTGAACTCTTGGAACAATCTACCAGAAAGTGTTGTGAAGGCACCGAGTGTGAGCTCTTTCAAGACAAGACTTGACCAACACTGGAGCGGGTTCAGGTACATTCAGGAGCCGGTGCATGCCCAGTACTTGCCAACAGTGCGTAACAGAGACGTGACCGATCGCCCAAGCGGGTAACGATCCGATGAGTGGTGAGGAGGATAAAAGTATGACCTACAGAAACTCAGAGTAAATTCTCAAACTATATTATTTTACCTATTTCATAGATGTTTTTCCACAGCATAGACCATGTCCGAACGTAAGGACTCCAGCAGACTGACCAGCCAAGAAGTTTGTGAGGCCTTGGTGGAACTGGTCAGACAAAACCCAGCCATTTATTATGTCAGGTCACCTCAACATAGGGACTCCATAGTCGTTGCCAACATATGGAGGTCTATCACCATGGCGCAGTCGTGGCGTGACCACCCAAGGGGACAGACGTGCCCATAGGTGCTCTCGACTTCCCGATCGTCCCACCAAGGTCCCCTCAGACGGCAAGTTTTGCCAGCATGGGGGGTCGACATAAACGTCCCAGAAGAGGCTCTCTCATGGACGCAGACGCAGACATCTCTGATACTGATGCCATTACCAACTCGCCTGGTCATACTGAATCCAACACCCTTCAAGAGTCAGATCCCAGTGATTATGACAGTGACGGTAATGTTTCTATGGGAAACGCAAGCCACAGTGGAAACACCAATGCCATGGACCCTATCACCCTGCCCTCTGCCAAACAAACAAGTAAGCTGAATCTCCACTTCCCCAAGGACCCTCTGAAAACTGTAGAGGAACGCTTTAATTGGATGATGGAGTACTGCAGACAGCACGGTTTCAGCACTGAATTCCGACAAGGTAAGAACCGGAACTTTATCAAGTGTCAGACTCCTGAGGCCTATGAAACACTTAGTACTGTTGGCTTTGACGGGGTCGTCCTGGTGCCCCCTCCTCCCCCCCCTCCCAGTAGACGCTGATGAATGTTGTCACATCCTAGTGAAACGTTTCCCCTTATACGCTGACATCGAAGATGCGCGTGACTTTAACTCTAGTATACTGAGTATACGTCGCCATTACCGGGGGAGAGTTCCACAACCCGCTGTCATTGTCAAGTGGAAGGGTAGGGAGTGCCCAACCACTGTGGATGCCCACCCACTCTTACCCCCCACTGTATGCAGAAGCCTATCATCCTGAACCTGCATTTTGTGCTGTCTGTTCTCATTGGGGTCACAACTTCACTGCCTGCTGTCGACGTGATCGTCCTAGATGTCGCTTCTGTTCGCGTAACCATAACTCCGCCGCCTGTGCCCAGAAAATCAAAGACCACCTTAATAGTGGTGGGGTGGGCTATGTAATTAATCCCAGATGTTGTAACTGTGGCGGCCGGCACAATGCTGACTCATGGCAATGCCCCAATCGCCCGTCTGTCCCAGGGGAAAAGCCTCCCCGAAGGCCAAGTCTACCACAACGCCCCCCCCCCCAGTCTTCCGGGCCACACCCCCCTGTGTACCCTCTGTCTCTCTGTCTCCAGCAACGCCTTCTACAACAACACCTGCCTCTGCCTGGCCTCACCTGGCTACAACACAGCAGTCCCGGCCGTCTCCTAACTCAACTACTACTGGGCCTCCTCCCTGTCTCTACTCTGAGGCTGTCAGGCCTTGTGCTCCCACCGGTGCCCCCCCACAGTGACATGACACAGATCATATCCCTCTTCCAAGAATTTACCAACCGTATTGAACAACTCTTCGCTACACTCTGTACCACCATCTCCCACCTACTCCTGCCCTCTGTTGCCACCCAGTCACTCCTCTCTTCTGGTTTGACACAAGCTGGTAGTCTCCCTGTGAGCCCCCCCTGCTCACGGCCTACTCCACCGCCGGCGGCCTTCACTACTGGTGTAGCGCCTACCGGGCCTGCCCTGGTGTGTCCTGCTGCCCCCGAGCGAAGTCCTGCCCCATCCTCACAACACTTGGTGCCTCAACCTGTCCACCACCCACCGCAAGCCGCGCCCGCTCCCGTGTCTGAGCTGTCTCCACCAGGGCTACCTGGACCTGAGGACACCACCCCCGGCTACCTGTACCCCACCGACATGTCGACGAACACACCATCACAATAACACTAAAAGGTGTGTCCCTCAATGTTGTCAATGCCTATGTGCCTCCCCCACCCCTGCTGTACCTGCCCCACCACCCCCACTGTACTTCGCCACGCCTAGTACATTGGCAACCCTGAGCCTGGCCACACTGTTTGTAAACTTTGTGGTCAACAGACTCTCACACCCTCTTTCACCACATCCTCATTTGCCCTATAACCTCCCCCTACAGGGTTGGCACCTCTTCCCTCCCTGACCAGACATCCCTCCTTCTAGTGACATGCCTGGCACTTGACATTATTAGGGACCTGCCACACTTTGCCATAAACAGATAAATTGTACCGGGAATTTTCCCCCCCCCACACACATCATTGTCACTTTATGTAACTTGCTGACAAAACCCATGACCCTTCAGGCCTTTTACGCCCTTAATGCATGAGTCATAAAGGCAAGCATGAACTCCGCATGCTTCCCAGTTGGGCGCTGTAAACACTTCTGCGCTTCACCTTGCACAGGATGTAAGGGGGTGCCCAGTAAACTAGCCCCCTCGTGGGCAATCTGTAAAAAAAATCTGTATCACCATGGCGCTGAAAATTGCTGGTATAACTGGTATGTATGTATGTATGTATGTATGTATGTATGCATCGTAGTAAATCAGTAAATCATATCGCACAGAGTGTTATGTAACTGGAAAGTTTTGCTCTTCCTCCATCCCACTTGGTGGACCCATTATCATTATTATTTGTTTGTTACTGGGTATATATATTACGCACAATTATATCAGTCAGTGTGTGCATACATACCTCAAGCATATGGCTAGCCGTTGCCTCGGGCATATTGCCTCTCTTGTCTTGCTCACTTTCACCACAGATTCTTCCACCAGGTTGAGTACTTGCTTAAGCTGCTCTCTGGTCAGTCTGCAGTAACGTTGGAATTGTTCTTCATCCAGTTCCAATTCCTTCACTAAGTGGTAGTATACACCATGCTTACGACGCTTCTAAGGGATTTCATGGACCCACCACCTATGTTTTCTTTTGTCATTTTGATATCTTCTGTGGAGGATGATACCAGCCATGAAAAGGAAGTGGCTATACTCATGTAATTTTTGACGCAGATGTCGGGACATCTTAAGGTGAGGTGACTTTCTGGGGGAAACGCGGACCTCACACTACATAGTTTTCATTGATATATGGATGTTCACCTCATGGAGTCACGGACACACTGATGCGGATACAGACGCGGACACGGACCACGGATCACGTACGAATGGATGCCCGACCGTATCGCGCCAATTGACGAGTTGACGGTTCTGGGTAAGCACAAGAAATACACTCTGCCACGTTCGTATAGTGATACGGTATATATAATTTGTAGGGTGACGACGGATGTAGATGGTACAAACCTAACCAATACAGAGTTTAGGACGATACAAGTTGCCGTAAAGCATGAAGGTTGTTGCTGGGATTGCCCTGACTGCATAGTCAAGGTGAAAGAGGCGATTGCAAGCCATACTTCTTACTTTTACTTTTATCCTCTTCACCACTGATCGGCTCGTTAGCCGCTTGGGCGATCGGTCACGTTTCTGTTACGCACTGTTGGCAAGTACTGGCCATGCACCGGCTCCTGAATGTACTTGAACCCGCTCCCTAGGGACAAAAATGGATGAAGCTGGATCCTTGTGTCATGGTCATAATGACATGGCTAGTCTGTTAAAACCTAATAATTCATATTACGCTCCACGCTCACAAAACCTGTAAACCTTTTGAGTCTCCCAGTTAAAACATTCGTTCTCTAACCACTTCAGGAGATCTGAGTCCTCCGTTTTCTATGTCACATTATCTGAGAAACTCAAATATACCTAAATTCCGCACAGGGTGTTCTTGCATTTGAATTTGGT